GATCTAAGATTCTTATTAACTTTTCAATATTATGGTATGGCGAATTATGCATATCTATATATGAATATAAATATTACTGTATATCGGAGTAAATCATGATAAGGATTTATTCGAAAACAATATTTTTTGCATATATATGTTTTTCTAACTCTGCAAGCTTGTTGCAAAGGTATTGGACATGATATCAACCATCAATTTTCAGTTAGTACGTTACTTCACATATTTGTTCGTATGAGTTCGGGTAAATGCAGCATCCTTTGTGCATGATTTTCAATAGGACCTAAAACCCTGAAAAGAAAGCCTGATGAATCTGTTAGTGATCAGGTCCCAGTTAAAGTAATTGAAAAATCAAGTGAGGGTTCTCGACGTCCTGCGATTATAAGTCCTATCAAATTAAATGTACCCACACAGGTTGGATATTGTTATTAATGTCGTGTAAATTACCTCTAAAGGATTTTACACCTGAAATCCCTAAAAAGGTAGACAGCAAGGTCCGTGAAGTCTTCAACTCAGATGAGGAAGTGAGTTATGTCTTAGATCTCAAAGTATACTCGTCTACAGAGTGAGGAAGAGGAAATTCCAACGGAAGCCAGAATACGAATGCGAAATTTAGGAAGGTATTGATGGACGTTTTTGTTCGTAGGCGTTTCTATATATTTACATATTCAGTAACCCATTTGAAACTTCGAAATGTTACATAGATATTCATGTCACTATTCAGCCAACGTTATCATATAGTTAGTCATCATACTAATCTAAAGCTAACAGATTTTTACGGCGTGTGACCGTCTGCTTCTATCTAGTTTCATTAACACTAACCTTAAACTACTTCCTTACAGAAACTAAGATCTCATGATGTCATGCTTTCATTAAAATTTTTATGTTCAAGTATCCAGTCTGTGTAGATACGCTAATAAGTGCATTTCCATACTGAACTCTCTAGTCTGTGGCTAATATGTTTATATTTAGTCATTCCGACACACTTGATGGTTGAATCGTCTACAATATTACAACCTCAACATAGTGAGGGTTTCCTAGATACTTCGTTGGTAATTTCTCCAAATACTTATTCAGGTCAAAATCCGATAATGAGTGGTATAGGTTAATAATTTAACGCGAGCAATTAAATACTAAATGTGGTCACCGTTTCGGTTCTCAATATTTTTTCAATCGACAATACCGGGCTTGTTTTCGAAGGTTATTCTCTTTAGTATGATAGGGAGGCTGATTTAATCACAATTTACTTCATAATTACATCCCTCTTCAGATTATATGCTCTAGAATTTATTCGCTTTAAACTAAAAATTTCGAGTAGTTTCTCAATATTGACCAATGCTAAACAAAATACAACAACAATGATAGAAACAATCTGTTCATATTTATCATTGGCTCCTGCCTAGAAATAAGGTACTGCGTCGATACAAATTTCTAATTTGAATGTTCAATTGTCCCAGTTTATAAGAATAAATTATGAACCTGTGATAAATGTTTCCTTTCACTCAAATTTTCGCCTGTAAAGTAGTCATTGTTGTAATTTCGTGAAACTAGGTTGGAACTCTTGAAGCGAAAACCAGATCAATAATAAAGCAGATAATTAAGTTATCTGACTCACTGGTTACTCTTGTTTTTTAGTCGATCAAGTAAGTCGCCTAATAGTTACGGAAAATAATGGAAAACAATCATCGGGCTTCAACCTTAATAGTCACAAAAACATACAGCTAGAATTTTAATTGAGCTCACAACAAAGAATAATTCTCTTCAAACACAGTGCATACACATTTGAGCAAGCTTTTCTGGTTAAAACTTCAAGCTGTTCATGACATACCTAAGTAATACTGAGTAAAATAAGAAAATTCAGACAACTTTAAATGAGAGTTGCTAATAGCTAAGAATATTTTTATACACATAGTCCTTTTTTTCATTTTAAAAAGAGTATGAACAAAGATTGTAGCCAAACAACACGAATTCATTTTATTTCGTTGGTTCTCACCAGCTGCTTGTAACCTGTGATATTTGAAAGTCATAATTACAAAATGGGTTTAAATTACTTACGTGAGAGATTTTATTTGTAAATCATTTTGAAGACACATTTGTTATAGTGTAGGAAGTGTGTGAATAAATTTAATAGACTGAATATAGGAAATATATACCTTATGTAAAAGAAACTTCTACAATATTGATTGTGACAACAGTTCGAAAGGCCAGAAACAAGCGATTACACAGTGGGTAAACGCTGATGGGAATAAAACGAGTAAAGCTACGTTAATAAGATTACTAATCTGGAAGTTAGTTGAAATAAAAAACCAAATAATGTAATGAATGCAAGGAAGAGTTTTAGAAAAATTTAAGATGCAACAAAGGAATATTTGCCACTAAGACAAGGAAAGATTAGCAACCATCACCTTTTGAACACATAAATCAGGGTATTGACGCCTGATAGCAACGGCTTCAGCAAACGTCAAAATACTAGTGTTTCGCTGATTTATGATTAAGAGTTACATTTAAGGTTTTCATCACGAACTGACATCAGCTATAATGCCAAAACTTTTTTTCCCAAGTGGGTGAGTAGATTTCGCACCAAAATCCGAGACCTGCTATCTTACACGTGATAGGCTCGTTCATATAATATAGTCCCGCCGCCAGTTTTAATTTCATTGTTCAGGTTTCTTAATTTATCTAGATTCATTGAAATGTTTCAGCCGATTTGAACAATTCAGGATACTTATTTTAATTATTAAATTTATTTCATTCGTTCCAGTTTTTTTTTAATGATCATATTTCAATACTAGACTATAAGTTTAGAAAAAGATATGTAATAATTAACGAGCTCTACGCCACGGATTATAGATTTCGCTCGATTTCCCTACTCTACAGATGATTATGTATGAATATAAAAGTAACAGGATTGGATTGAACACATAAAACATTTATTTATTTTAACATATAGATATTGGTACAAGGAGGCACCAAATACATATGCGCCACACAAATCTCATTCGATATATGTGGGAGCTGTGATACATTTATGGCACCTACAAGTGCATATCGAGAATACAAAAGCATACAGATAACAGAAAATCATTCACTTGTTAATATTAGGTAGCGATTTCTCGGTAAAATTATAACATTAAATATAAGCTCGAGATATTAACAAATGCCTATGTATGTCCAAGTATGTGCTCATTTTGAGTGTCCCATTAAAGAATTTAAAACAAAACCGACAATTAGCAATTTGTCTTGTAGTGGTTTTTTCGCTATCAACAGAGTCTAATTATATGTGCACAATTGTAAAACATACTATCAAATAAGTACTGTTATATAAGATGATAGCGTCTAAGTTTGCCAACGTCAAAAATTTTTAATATCTACAACTAAACAGTATAGTTTGATCTCTCAGCTTTTCCCAACATAATCTTTGACGTTTAAATTGGTTGCATAATTTTCGAGAATCATCAATGTAATTAGTTCAGTTAACATCAACCAAAGCTTTGTGGTAGCTCAAACATCATTATAGAGTAAATGTTGCCGGTATAATATACTTTAAACTGTTGGACAGTATAGTTTATTGCCTAAAAAATTATAGTTACCGTGTGAGATTTCAATAGACAACTTGATACTTCATCTAACTTGTTATTTTACTACCAAAACTAAACAACAGAATTCTGATCTGCCTGAACCTAGGCAATTTTCATTGTTCATGCGTTGAAGTTACTCTGAACAATGTTACTTGCTTTAGTGGTCAAAAACTGTGTAGCAAATCAGTTTGAAGCGTACAGTAGATTGTATCTAGTCAAAAGGAATGTGAAATGATAAGTCTTTTAGAGACTAAATAATGTAGCTCACTCTGAATCTACTTCAACTGGAAATGTTAAGTTTAAATTTTAAATATCGATATTTATCTTATTTTGTTTTCACTTCGCTTATTTAACACAATTTCACTCAATCTAACCGAAGTAAAACAACTTTACAATATCAGAAGGGGTTTTGTGGAGATTTTAGAAGTTTCACTGGTTAAGATCATGAGTCATTTGAAGCTAGACCACCATGAAAAACCTGGAAGCACTGGATGGCCGTTTCGTCCTATTGTTGGACTCCTCGGCAGTGCGCATCCGCGACCCCACCTCGCGGGAATCGAACGCAGGATCTATCGGTCTCGCTCCAGGCGCTTAACCAACTAGACCACTGAGCCGGCATCCAACGGTGTCAATGTCTAACTTCAACTAATACACGAAATTGTGCGACACATCCACCATTGCCATCAGTGAGTTACTACCTCACAACTGACCCGATTGAACTCCACTGGTCACTGCGCGAGACCGATAGGTCCTGAGTTCTACTCCCGTGAGGCGGGGTAGTGGGTGCGCACTGCCGAGGAGTCCAACAATAGGACGAAACGGCCATCCAGTGCTTCCAAGTTTTCCATGGTGGTCTAGCTTCAATTGACTCATGATGTCAACTGTTGAAACTTTACAATATGTAATTTGTAGGTATTTAAAACACCTATGATTGTATTAATGACACTACTGACTGATGGGAACCAACATATAGGATTACTCTTTTAATGAAAATAATTTATAAACCTCTTGATAAACATACGATATGATAATACAAACTTAATTAGATTTTAAATGCTATATTAAACTGATCTTTATTTTCTTTTTTTAGGTACACTCCCACATCTTGCGGTCCAAATTCTTTTGGAAAAGGAAGATTTGGTTTTGTTGATCGTAGAGCATTACTTAATAAACAAACAGAAGCATTGAATGAAGCAGTTTCAGGAGAGAATGAACGTTAGGTATCATATTACTTAAACAATCAAAACTACAATATATCAAGCAAAAAAATCATCACTACCACTACTAACAAAATTGTTTCCAAGTATTTATCCACCATTGATTGTGTGTGTGTGTGTGTATAAAAGAAAATGTTAACGATAATTGTAATTATGTTTAATTTTCTTTATTCTTCTCAACAACAAAAACAAAACAAAACTCAATAAATATTTATATCAGATTTATTTTATACTTGTTTTCATTTTTATATCATGTCGATAATGACTGAGTAAAGCTAAAAATAGAGCAGCAGATACACGTGCATTAAGATCAGCATTTTCAACATCATGATAAGAAGGGACATCTCCCCATCGATTAACCTAAGATAAAACAAGAAAAAAATACAAATCAATAATATTCACTTGAAGATGAATTAAAATAACTTAGTATATATGTAAAAGCTGTAGATATATGAAACTGAGATTAGATGGTGGTTGGAGGTAGTCGACAGGAAGCCCTGTACCCGGGTCTCGTGCTACTTGGCACTCGTCAGCAAGATGTACCTGTAATCTTGAGAGAACTGGTGCTCCCTAGCGGATTCGATCTCGTGTCACCCAGCTTTATAGTCAAAGACGTTACCACTGAGCTATCCGAGCCGCGACCGACCTCCTGTAGGACTGAGATGTAATCACAATCGATTGATCACTGGGTGGCGATCAATGTCATGTGTGTCTAGTCCTTATTAGTGCAGATCGAATGCTATTGATCTCAATATATAGTGCCCGCAGTGTCGAGTCACCTAGACTGGTGGCCACATTGCAACATGATCGATAGCATTCAATCTGCACTAATAAGGACTAGATACACATGGCATTGCTCGCCACCCAGTGATCAATCAATTGTGATAATCTAAGGATATTAGACAAATACTTCTTAATGAAATACGAAATAGTTGACTAAAACTTGATAGTTTGAAAGAATGAGTATTGCAGTGTGCATTGATTAGTTTTAGTTTAAAGATAAGCGCTAGATTAAAACGTGGATCATAGTATAGGAGTTCCTCTTTACAACATTTAGACTTCAGTATACAACTTTTCTTACATATTATGAGTAGTCAAATCTTATCTATAATTTGAATGCAAGGCATTGTTACTCAGATTGAACTAAGTAGTGTTATGAATATGGAATCTCTATGTACAACTTAGGAAAAAAATCAATATCGTTTTGAGATGAATGTAAGGTTAACTAACGATACATTCTCTGTGGATCTTTAAACCATTTCTAATGCGATTTGTGTTCTATGATAACTGCTTAGTCTATACAGTTTAGTAACCGTATTCAATATATAACTGATAAACTTAAATGTATTTTTATTCCCTTTGGGTTCTGGACCAATAAAGCTTGGACTTTCCACTCTAATTAGAGCAGAAGGGAAGATGATACTTATCTCGTTCACTACAATGAAGTCGCAGGGTCGGAATAGTAGCTTATCACACGACATATCAATGGAGTAATTCACAGTTAGCACAGAACCTCATACCACATCAGGACGATGAGATTCAATTTATAATATAAAGATAACAAAGCAGCCGAAATAATTGCAGTGCCAATGACAGTGAGGAAGATTATAAGCTTAAAATATGAAGTGAGAAAGTACGTATGAGGGAATGCTTGGACTGAAGATCTAGGAAAGTATGAAGAGTGAATTTATCTGTGCCATGTACTAAATTTTCAGCCATATCACACGTCATTCTCAACCAACTGTTAAGATAATTTAGCGAATTCTGATCAGTTAATCTGTACGTATCAATATGACTCGAACCAACTGTCAATGACTTGATAGACTGATGCCAATTATTTATTTGGATGACTTTAACTTTCTTTCAATCCATTCTTATACCAGCAAACCATCACGTTGAGGTAGGCGGTGGTTTAGCATAGTAGAAGTATACATGTCCCAACAATCTAAGTGTATGAAGATCCTGAAATCTCATAAATAGATTTGGCATCCTGCACTTACAACCCAATAAATTAGCTGGTAGTGATGAATAATTGCATTTAGCGTAGAGTGTGGATGCTAAGCGTTGCTAGCCAGATTATTATGTGGAAATGCAAAATGTTACTTAAGAACTGGTATGGGTCATCTCCTGAACTAATAATATGAAATGAAGTTGTTGAATCTTTCACTTTGCCTAGAAATCTCATCAGCACTAGTGGGTTGATATCTGACGAAATCTTGGCACCGATTTAGAAAGCGCAGTTACCTCTACAAACTTGTGGCGTAAATGAAATTTTTGTCTAACAATCAAACGGCATATGTACTGCGCAGCAGTTTGATCTGTTGTACTTTATAGCTGTGAAGAAAACATATATGGAATACCCGGATTTTAATCATAGATGTTCTCAAAGTGTTTTCCGCACTTCGTGGAACCACCTAGTAAGGAATATTGATCCTAGGCATAGGTAGCAAACTTGCCGATAAAATTGTGAATCTTCATTAACCGAGATAGTTGAGATATGTGTTACATATGACGAACCATTGCCTATCTCGGCGTGCAATGTCGTCTCATATAGGAACAGACTTTAAGAAAGCAAATGACGCCCAAACCAAGACTTGGCATCATTCCATGAAGTCATTGACTATATTTCAGAGTCATATAAGTAGATGCAGACTACCTGGATGGGATTAGCGTAATAACCACAATCAGAGGGTTGGAAACTTAGGTTGACATGACTCAGAATTGTCCACAATAGTGCGGATACTTTAGCTCCTCAATCTTAAATTTCTGCATTTCCACTGTCTTTCCATACTATGTTCTCAATGCTGAATCTCTTTCAACATTCCAATCTCTTTTGTTACATGTTTTGTTAATTTCATCTTATCATCCTAATGTGGTACGAGAACGTGGAGTTATATATATATATATATATATATATATATATATATATATATATATATATATATATATATATATATATATATATATATATATATATATATATATATATATATATATATATATATATATATATATATATATATATATATATAGTTAGATATTTGAATACTGAAACTTTACAGTGATGTAATGTAATTAAAACTAACCTGAAATAACATTTCTATTTGACTTAATTCAACAGCTTTTACAACTGAACAAAATCCATCCAGCATAGCTAATGTAAGATAAACTGATTTCAAGTTTTCAACACATGATTTTATGCCTGTTATTTTTAAGGCAATACAAACACATAGGAAGAAAGAAATCTGATTAAGTAACATATGAAAATAATCTTTGAAAACACGCGCTTATTATAGTTTACCTAAAGTTAATCTGGGCATCATTGTGCTCTGGATGTGTTTGAAATTAACAGAGATCTCTAATTCATCCGTAAATTAGTTATCTAATAACACGTTTTATTATAAATGTTATATGAGTTCAGAAAGTTTGGTTGGTTATGTCAAATAACACTATTTGTAGCATAGGTGAGATGTTTGTTTTCCAACCAGAAGGGGAGTATTCAGCACAGGGATTTGCTCTGTTATACTTTATCGTTCAAAACGTGGTCTATGGAAGTAGGAAACACAGTTAGGCTGTGGGTACTTGATCATGAGTGTTTTCCAATGATTGTTCACCAATTGCAGAATGACTGAGTGAGCAATCATGAGGTTCGACATAGAATGCTAGGAAATATGGAGGCTGTGAATCTTCATTGACTGGGGTGACTAAGACATGTGTTATGTATGTACAACCGTTGCCTACCTCAAGATGCAATGCTGGCCAATATATGTGCAGGTTCAAAGAAAACTAGAGGGGGGTGTTAAACTAAGACTTAGGGTCAGTTGATGAGTCCATTTGTTTGAGCCATGTACATAAGTGAAGACTACTGGGTTGTGGCCAGTGTCTTTATACACTGAGTGATGTAACTTAGGATAGATTATAATGGTATGATTGATAACTTCACTCTTAATCTTGAGGTCCAGAATTCTTTCACACAATTTTTAATCCTGTCACTTCGAAACATACTATCAAAATTCAATTTTTTTCTACTATAATTGCTATTATATTATTTTGACTGGTTTGCTAATCTCACCTATTCGACCTGTTGTGATACTGGAACATGCACTAAAACACACATACGCCAGGTTCTGTGTTGATTATGATTGACCGATAATACATTGTGACCCGAAATCTAATTGAAGAATAAGCGTGACATGTTCATAACAAGCGTATCTATTGAGGCACAGTGATGTAGAATAGTAAGAAATTAGATAACATCGATTACAAACGTTTTATCAAACGCAAATATGGGTTTATTCTTGCGAAAATAAATGATAACCCAGATTCGAATCCACTAAGCAATATCTGTTTCTTGAAAATTTTAGGTAAACCTTGCTACCGAGTGAAAACTAGTTCGGAACCTAGATTTATGATTTTCTGCCAACTACAATCAAGAGAAATTAGACAGTGTGAAAACTCCTTAAATTTTATTTTAAAGAAAAAGTGAAAAAGCATTTTTAGACACGATGATTGACTGCTATATGTCACGGAAACACACATATGATCACCGTAATCGATGTCAACTAGTTCATGAAATGCACACAAACAAGAATTTAACGTACAAGTTAGATTTTTATATTATTTCTATAGTATTTGTTTAATAATCACAGAATAGAAACAATTTTGTCAACAAATTTACGGACTGATCTTACTGTCTTCGTTTGGTCTGGTTGCCCTAAGCTTTCTTCCAACCTACTCCTACACAAGCCATCATCGCTTGTTGAGGTAGTCGGTGGATGGGCATACATAATACACTAAGTCGACAAAGATTCACTACATTGTCGATTGATTTGGGATAACTTACCTCGTACTCTGCGTCTAACCTTAAAATTGCTAAATCAGTGGTTCTAAAATATACAGGCAATTGTTTCAAGATACCTATAATCGAATACCAGTAACCTACAAATATTCTTTACTTTTAAAGACTATGTTTCACAATTATGAAGTAGAAAAGAGCGAACTAGTAGGCAGAAAACTCGTCCTTTCGTTAGAAAAGACAACAGAGTTTTCTGGATTCATGTTGAGATTTCGTCAGGCACCAACTCATTAGGACTGGTGAAGTATCCTATATTAAAATAAAAATCTACATTACTAACACATACACACATGATTCGATCGATTTTTTGAAATGAACTTCAGTAGCTAAGTTTACAACTTTACATAGTCACCTTTGAACGATAGATTTTGTGTATACCAACTGATGATAATATTAACCGTCTACTGTAAATAAAAAGGGTTCAACTGTGTATCATAGTAATTGTAAGCCTAGTATTTCAATAGCTAAACCATTACCGACATAAAAAATGATAGAGGTTGAGGAAAAACACTACAGTGTTATATCTGGACGAAGAATAAGTGAATAGCCACCGTTAGGATCTACTTATGGACTACTATTATATATATTCTCATTGTATAACCATTAAATAACTGTGTTATATGTACATTCATATCCTTCTTATTATAACCTTCTATTTGACCTATTAACGAATATTATACGATTTACTGTTTTTAAATTACTCCAGTCTATCACACTCACAGCTACTTGCGGCTTAATCTTGTATAATTGTTATTTCCTATTTTATAGTATGATGACGTCTGATTTGCTTGTATCTAAACTGCGTACTTCTGAAATACATGATTGATATAGCGTAGGCTGATATTGGTGTTCTGAACTGAACCGGCTGGGTTAAACGAGTAGCTAATATCTTGGAGGACCAATAAAACTCAGAGTTGATTCTAGGCTGCTCGTACTGGTCTATGCGTCATTAGTCTGGTCAATATGTCGGTTTTCTAATTGGTGATTTAGTTATGTGACAATTAACAGGCCATCAGGACATAAGAGAAAATTGTTCTTTCTATTAACACCAAGATTTTGTCAACATCTATCATTATCAAAGAACTAATTCTCTGCACACCTGTATTCCCGATGATTGTCAGCACTAGTATTACGCATGAAAGAAGTCAGAGACAAAAGATGGATGTCGGTAATGAAAACAGAAAAAATGTAAAGTGAAAAAGGGATTTGAACTAGGACGTAGTGATCTCAAAGGCTGTTAGATCATTCCGAAGGAAGTATCCTTCTTCTCAAGGGAACTGGGCTACGAGTGAAATTGATAACCTGGGATTCTTATTCAAACGCCTAAGAGATAACTGTTACAGGTCGTCTACAGGTAATGTTTTGTGAAGTTTTTAGTGTTAACACTGTACTTTGAAGAACTTGCATCTGGGAATCGAAACTCGAGAAAGTGAGGTGTATTATTTTCAGGGTGGATCATTTCTAATCTTCCCCTTCGTTGTGAGAAAGAATTATTGTTGTAGATGCTTGTTGCTTAAAGAAAATATTTTGTTGTTATCACACCCCAGAACAACCTCATGTGGTTCCTGGGAAGTGTTCCCGAGATGATGTTCAAGCTCGTCCACAATGTCGAGGTAACAGCTACAACCATAAGCCATTATATAAATAAATAAATAAATAAATATATATATATATATATATATATATATATATATATATATATATATATATATATATATATATATTAGAAAGAAATTCGTGAGATTATTGACATCATTGATAACTTACCAGTAAGACCCCATATATTATAACTGTTAAAATAACGTGTTAATTTCTCTTTATCCAAAGGAGATAGTTTAGCCAATGAAGTCATACTATTAGTTATGACTGGTTTAATTTGATAATGTTTGTTAACCCAATTAATGATAGGATCCCATGAGAGAGATTGAACTTTAACCAAATCATCTGGTTCTTGACATCTGAAACTAATGATGTTTATTTGATGAACAAAACAAAGCAATTAAATATGACCACTTTAATAAGTGATGAATACACTGGTGCAACAGTGAAATGTGAATAGGAATTTCAGAACTATAGTATGTATACGAAATAATCAAAACTTTTTCTTAGGTAATGAGAATAAAACTGAAGATACTTGTTATTACATAATATGTATCAACTATTTCACCTTAGACCTTTCGATATGTGATATGCACTCACAACCCCTAGCTCACTCTCATCAAAGGTTGTGCCGTTAATACATTAGGAATATTGCCCAGTTGTTTCCGATTTTTAACAGTTCACTAAGCTAATATTAGTTTGTGATGAAAGAATCATTTATACATGGAACTAACCTCAATAAAATATCCAGTCAAATAAAGTTAAGTATAGGGTTGTGTACATTGTTGGATTTTCAGGTTTTACATTAAGAACTAACAACCATTAAGAGGAAGGGAGGACTAGAAAGATGCTTCATCATAGTACAAGAGTTTAACAATGAGTAACCAAGACCTCACTACAGATCGGAATCAGGATCTTCAGATCTTGCAGTGAGCACTAAACATTCAAAACACTGAGTTATCATCCAATTAGTTGGCTTGCATTTTCATCTCCATATGATTAGAGACATCAGAAGACCATTATTTATTTTCATTGGTGATATTTGTCATCGTCATTATTCAACGATATTTGAGGCTCGAAGAGATGATTAAAGATTTTATGAAGATAAAAAAAGACAGTTCCACTGTTCCACTGATAGTGACTGCATAGATGAGGAGCAACTGTTTGAATTAAGATGGATGAAACAACTTCCCAGTAAGAAAGAGTGCATACTGATTTAAGGATAGGTTCAAAACAGATAGCACTTGAATGAGTTCAGGAAAAGTATTCAGTATTCTTCATGCTCGAGCTTAGGAGATGACTCCACGGATCTTTGACTAATTCATAAGGCGTTGAATACCGTTAAGAGATGCAAACCAATGGTAGCTGGTGTCTAAAATCTGTAACTATGCTGTTCGTTCCACCAGGATCGTAGACCCTAAGTACCATATTGGTTTGTATTCTGTGTTTTACAACCTTGTTAGATGAACCATCCGTATTTACCAATCCAATTTAAGTTCCAGCCGTCTGCTTCCTGTCCTTACTTTTGTGTAGAAAATTTGTCACGTGAAGGCAGTATGTGGAAATTATTAGACAGGCAATAAATGAATGGATGTACGAAAGCATTTTGAGGAAGGAAGTACTTTCCTTACCGTTTCTCATACCATGACATTTAGGGACAACTTCATAATTACATCTTGTGAGAGGGTATATTCATACTGATTTCCATAAGAATTGAACATAATCCAGGTTATTTTTAAACTGAACAGAACAGCCCAATCTTGTTAGCAAACCATACAGGTACCAAGAACATTGGTGGACTTAATTTTTGAAAAAAAACCCATTAAGTATATTTATTTCATTAGCAAACAGACATATAATTGAAAAAAACTACATATTTACCAGATTGTATCAGTATCAGCATACTGCATGATAGTGCTGACTAGGATATCATGTTGATCAGCTGGAGTATCCAAAGCTCGATTGCACAATGTTGTCTACATATATTCAAGTTAAATAGAGAACAGATATTTTTTCACAGAAAAAAATCTATTAATTTTCGTTATGATTTAATCTATGATAAAATGTTTCAAAGCTGTACCAACAGAGCATTTAATGAATATTAACGTAACATACTTCATAAGTAATCGAGTAAATTCTTTAACTTAAGATAAATAGCTGTTACTATTAAGACAGTAATCGAGTTGTTAAATATTGGTATCCAACTCACTGAAACGATTAAATTTGTTGCATATTTATGAAACTTGAAACCTATGAGCTGAGAATATTTAGCGATTCTATGTGTTCGACCATCAATGTCTCCGAAAAAAATTTCTTGTACACACTATTTTAAAAAATGTGGTCTTAAAAAGTAGGTTGGAATACCAGCCAAGATGGGATGGATTTGGTTTATACGTATATTTTAATAAGCTACCAAAATAGGGGATAAATACGTTCGATTAGACTAGTTAGTCAGCCATAAATCCCTGGATGAAATACTAGTTATCATCCAACTGAGTAGTTTGAGATTTTGTTAGACATAACAGAGATTAGTACACGTTGACGATCCTTTAATGGATTTTTGTTGCGTTCCTCACATAAATCTAAACAAATAAGAACCATATTATTTATATTCCTACTGAAACTATCATAGAGATAAATTTCTGTCTTTTATTGCTCTACGATATTATAATTTCACTTTGTGTGACGCTTTTCTTGACAAGCAGTCAGAGTCATTAACGTAGAACTTCGTACGTACATACATCAGTTCAAGTTGCCATATCACATTAGCACAGAGATACAATCGTCCATTCAAATTCCATAGTGGTAGGGGTAGTAAAAATATAAGCAGTAACCGGAAGTATTAGGGTTTGAAGATGTTATTCAAGGAATATAATCCAGTGAAATAAACCTGGAAAGATAAAAAAAGGACATAAATAACTCAGAAGATTAGAATTTGGGACAATTCAAAGAGCGGATGCACCTGCGCCATTGCAAACGATTGTAAACCATATCACTCAAGGTTTCTAACCATCGGTTGCCATCATCTCGCGGATCCCAACCGGTTAGTCTACACCTACCAACATGGATCAGTTCACTTGTCAGTGACTTCATGGTTTTTTCTTGACAAGCGATAAAACCAAGCTTTCATCTGTGCAATAATAATAATAATAACCATTATTATTAGGCATAATAAGACCGTTAACACTGTATTGAAAAGTCTTACCAAAGGCATAGCATATCGTTTTATAGTGTCAACCTGACTATCCCATTCATGTGCAACAGCGACAGCTAATGCTTGATTCGGTACGTGAAAATGAATTCCAGTTGGAGTTCGAAGTTTACGTTGATCGAGAAGAATTTGAAAAACTGGATGTTTATAATCTAAATAGTAGAGAGTAACGATAAGTTAAGCAAGCGAAAATCAATAAAATTATAGTGCATTCAATGAATAGGAAATACTATAAACTAGAACATTCATATTAAATGTGGAAGTGAAAAATAAATTTAAAAAGTCAAGATTTAAGTTAGGTAGGTATTTTGAATTTATTAAAACTGTGAAGATGTGATCTGATGGACTAATTCACTTTTTATTGGCAGATTACGTACTGACTAGAAACTAGAGTATGATGACTATTGTACTTAGAGGAAAATTCGCCCCCGAAATGAGTACTGTTCAGGTTACAGGTTGAACAGTACTCGAAGCTGGTAAATCAGTTGGTGGGATCCGAAATATTGATCAACTGTGTTAGCTAGTACCCGCTTCATGCATTGCTAGCCATTGCTTAATCTGGCGACGACGGTAAAGGAGTAAAGATATGCTAAAAGTTACAGGAGGTCAAACTCAAACATGGTACTAGCCTATTCGATTACTGAATTTTGACTTGAGTCCTGTTAATAGATGAAAGCCACTTGGTCCGGGTATATAAAACGCTCGTGATTATCGATTGAAGATCTGAGGTAAAATTTCTCATAATCAGAGAAAGTAGCACAAATAATTTACTCTGTCTTTTATCACCATATTATACTTTTGCCCATAAATTCATTGCTTTTCAAAATGTACTATCTATGTTCAATATTTTATTACTGATGCTAGTGCCATCCATCCATTTTACTATTGATTTTGTTAGTATCACCATGTTATCCTGATCTTTTTTGGTAACTTGGGCCAACGAATATTTGTGATTAGTTCTGCGCTGATTGCAAATAACTAACTAGTCGGGAAAATCAATGCAAAAACACTGATGAAACTCAACAACACGTAGAACGGGTTAGTAAAATGAATGGATTTTTTTTAACTTACTTTCATGAGTTGACTGAAATACAGTCACATTTTTATAAAACTTCTTAGTTTGAGCTATATAGAAATATTATGCACATTTCAATGTACCAGAAAACAGACTTCTACGAGGACCGCGGAAACAATATAAAGACGTAGATGAAATGAATTTCTTGCTAAACATTCAACTGAATCAAATGATAACTGGTGTTCACTGATATCAATTTATTAAGTCTTATAGGATAGTTGAGGGTTGTAATAGATTTTGTACGCTGAATTTTTCTGAAACATTAGAAAGTAGCAAAGCAAGGTCACATTTAGAAACTACGTGTATAAAAATATACCGATGCTAATAAAAATGTGTTTGATAGTTGATTGTATCAACTACCAAATATCCCCAAATACCCTGGTACGGTCAAGGGTAGGAGAGCTAGCTCTCCCTCTCCAAACGCTCTCACATGGCCACGCGTATACAGCCACTGACAGGGAAGTTCTACTTACTGTCTTTTCGCACCAAAGGTGTTGTTTACGAAATTGAAAGGACGAAAAGTCAATGTCCTGTGCTTTAACCGGTTTGTTGGATACGAAGGGTTTACCTAGAGGAGTTGGAAAACCACGATTTCAAACCATTGGTGCACATTGGATCCAGGATCTTGAGGGAACAAATGGAGTATGAATCGATTATTGATCACTGGCCACCATTGGACTGCATATCCAGACGTTGCTCCACTGCCTTGTGAATTAGACTTTGAGGTCGAAGGCTTGGGGTGTGGCCCCTTGAGAAAACCTTCTTCCTCGCTCTGGGCACCTGGGCAGTATCACAGCCCAGACGCAAATAAAGTGACTTGTGTGGCGCATATGTAGTTGATGCCCCTTGGTACCAATGTTTATGTGTTCAAATAAATAAGTGAAATGTATCAACTACAGTTCTAACTTATTCCGTTTCTAAAGAGAATACTGAGTTTTAAGGCGCTAACTATTGTAAAGTTTTAAGATATTTAAACTCCCGCCTTGATTATTTTCTTACTTTTACAAATGTGATTTTAGTGGCTTCTATACCGTGAACAATTTTCCGATGATAAGACTAATTAGAATATGAGGAGATGCGATAACTTTATGAGTAATTGTAAATGAATTAAGGATGATATGACTCCATGGACGAAATTTCAGGGACCATGCAGTTGACTTGTTTACGACTACTGCAGAGACAGTTTACAGAAAAAGTCGGTGGCAGGTTTGGTGCATTTTAATATAAACAGTAAAATAGCATGTTACTGAATGAAAATCTTCACAATAATGTTACAACACAAACTATGTTGTCACGAAAATACTGCTCCCAACTCTATTTATTTTTTATTTACCTATCCGCCAGGTGCTTCCTTAAGGTAATTTTTTGCTTCATGATTTACATTATACTAATACAATGTGGTATCGATGGGTTTTTAGGAAGGATAAAATAAAATTTCCTACAGATCTATTGAACCAAGTGATCACGTAAATAAATCGCTGATCAAAATCTAATCACTCTACTGCACATTTTGACGGCTAAAATAATCATTAGTTAAAACTAAAAAACCAATATAATCATAGGTTAATTATTAACAGGATTTTGTTGTTGAAATTACTAACAGAATGCCTTTTCATTAGGTAAGTTTAGAATGGAAAGAAAGCATCTGAGATGCAAGACAATCCAAAAGATATGTCCCTTTTAAAAAATTAAAATCTTTAAGGCGCTTGGACGGTTATGAGCGGAATAGAAGCTTTCATAACCAGTTGTAATGTGTCACTGATCCCTCTATTTAGCAACATTTAACAAATTGACTTAACTAACACGAACAGTACAAATGGTAAAATGACCAAGGGATTACTTTCAGTATATCTCAAAACAGTGTGACTTAAGTATCATCATGTATACTTAGCTGTTTAAGATTATCAACATATTTCTTTAGTATCAGGTCAATTATTTGGTCTAGTGGATCTAATCAGAGTGAGATACTTGCACTTGACTTTGCAATAGAAAGAAGAGTGGTAGTTGACAGAGAAATTAGCAACTGGTTAAATCTTTGCAACACAATTCGTCGGAGAATTCAAATGTATAAACCGGTTACGCGATAAGTAATATCGGACCTGAATAACCCTGCGTTATTCGTCATCATAAAGTATCCAAAATATAAGCTGTTAATGAAGGGACAAGAGTAACCAGGTGTAATATCTGGCACAAAAATGTAGATATTTGTTTGTGGTACTTAAACGGAAGTAGACCCATGCGACGAAAGTCGTTTACACGTGCCCAATTAGTCTTTAGTACTATAAAGAGTCATTAAGGATACTCTCTACCAATATTGTCGCCAGTATCGGCGCACAAACCCGTAGCATCGGACGAAAAACACATCGAACCCCGTCAAAGCCCAGTAGCGCACCACGTTAAATAGATCGATTTTCAGTCCGACCTTGACAGCGGAATTCAATATCAAATGGTTCAAATGGTTGTGGACGGAATAGAAGAAGCTTTCACTTAACAGGCTTCCGTGTCTAGTAGCAGGGGATCATCAAATCCTCCAGGCAGGAACCTAGGTATGTTGACAATAAAAGAGGAAAAGAAAATGGTAAATCATAGTATGATACTGTCCTTGGTCCTTTAGAATAGGTCAAGTTGCCTCTTGGAGGACTCCTGAGAAGTCGCTTGGACTAGCTCGGCCATCAGCAAATTCCAGCTTTTGACAACTCTTAAGGAGTAGAAGTTGTGTCTACATCCCTTCTTGCCATGTTGAGTTTCCAGTTTCTGGGTGTTGCCCCTTAGGTTAGTATTCGAACTAAGCTTGAGTAGGTGTTTAAGAAGATGTCCAGAAGTGTTAAGAATACTATAAGCCATTAATAAATCACCTCTAAGACGCCTATACTCTAATGGGTAAAGGTCTAGTGAGTGGAGGCGTTCTTCGTAAGGCTTAGATTTGAGTCCGCGAACTGATTTCGTGGCTCGCCGTTGGATACGCTCCAAAGTGACCTTGTCTTTTTGGAGTGAGGGGGGAGTACTATATTTCCGTACTCTAAATGGGGACGGATAAAACTATTGAAGATTGTATGGAAAGTTCTTCCGTCAAACTGGTCAAAAATGCGCTTCAATGTTACCAGTGCAAGGTTTGCTCGGAAGGCATTTTTGTCACAATTAGCGTAAGACTTTAAATCATGGGGCACCAGGACTCCTAAATCTTTTTCGACTTGGGATACTACTAGAGAGGAGTTTCCTAAGTTATAACTGCAGTCTGCGACATGTCGCAGATGGACTACTTTACACTTTGAAGTGTTAAAGGTAAGTCCGTTATCATCTGCCCAACTTTGAAGTCGAGTCAGATCCTCCTGAAGTGCCTGTGTATGGTCTTGGTCGCGTATCTCTCTCCGAAGTTTCACGTCGTCGGCAAAAGGTAATAAGTCTGACGTTACCTGTTGAGGAAGATCGTTTATGTAGATCAAGAAGAGAAGAGGCCCTAATACTGAGCCCTGGGGAACCCCACTAGGACATTCCATAGCCTGAGATAAAGTGAAATTAACCCTAACCTTAAAGTGTCGATTTTCTAGGTATGAAGTAAGCCAATCGATTAGAGGTAGTTTGATACCTAGTCGTTTGAGCTTATTGATAAGACACAAGTGGTTAACTTTATCAATAGCTTTTGAGAAATCAAGGTATATGATATCAACCTTTCCCTTGCGATCGAGGGTGCTTGTCCATCTGTCCACCGCAGTCAGCAGGTTGGTTATACAAGAGTAACCCTTCCTGAAACCATGCTGTTGGGGTGAGAAGAAATTTAAGGACAGTAAATAATCGTTTAAACCATCGCATATCAGGGACTCCATGAGTTTTGAAGGTAATGACAGAAGAGCCACCAGCCGATAACTTGAAGGTTCATTGCGTCGACCCCCTTTGAAAATTGGTGTGATGTGAGCCAATTTCCAATTTTCTGGTAGTTTGCCTCGGCTTAGTTATAGTGAAAACATCACGCTAAGCGGCGTTGCCAGGATTGAGGCTGCCTCCCTCAGTATGGCAGAATGAACCATATCCGGGCCAGGAGAAGTATCTAGTCTTAAGTGCTGCAGTTTCCGGAACACCAAGTCAGCGCTTAAGTCCACTTCGGAAAGCCCTGTGGAATTGCAGATGAAACTGTCGTCAATAGAGTTGATGTTTGAGAGTAATGAGCCGCCAGAAGGTTAACGGCGTCACCATCGTTGTTGGTCGGGCCGTTAAGACCTAGCAGTTGAGAAACTCCTGTTTTGGCTTGACGAAGAGAGGCTGCATAACGGAATAGGCTTCTAGGGTTCGAGGCAAATTTGTCCATAAGCTTTGTCTGATAATGAAGCCTGCCTTCCCTTATAGCCTTCGTGCATATGTTCCTGATATGTTTGAATTGCCTATACGCTCCGTCGTTGTCAGTTCGTTTGTATTCCGCCCAATAGTGCCTTTTAAGGCTTAGCAGGCAAAGGGTACGGTTCTTGATTGTTGTAGGTGGCTTACAGCTTTTGGGAACCGTTTGAGGAACTGAATGGTTTGTAGCACATAAGAGCGTGTGCGGTAAGAAGTCCCAGTGACCGTCCACATCGAGTTGGAAGTGAACACCCCAAATCACCTGTTGTAGATAGTCATGTAGAGCTAGCACATTCAGCCGTTTAAAATTCCAACGCAAATTATTGTTGGGATACCTTAGCTTAGTTTTGGTGACAAAACTGAAGGCTATGACGGCATGATCGCTCTTTCCCAGAGGAGCCATGATTGAGAGGTTGTCAACTAGGAATTCTTCGTTTGTGAATACACAGTCTAACCGCGATGGTGTCTGACTGTTTCTCCAACGAGTTGTCGACCTCACATTTTCATATAAGCCCAAGTCATCGATGAGGTTGAAGAACCGAGCTTCAATTGAGTTGTCGCCTCCAGTGTACGTGTGTTTCGCGAAGTTGACTCTAGGGAGATTAAAGTCCCCTAGAATCAGGATATGTGTGAAACCGAGACGGATAGAGCGGGATAGTCCATCCAGCATACGACTATCATACTCGATGTCAGCAGTTGGCTTCCTGTAAATGACACCGACTAGACACCTCAAAGTACTAGACAATCTTACAGAGCACCATATGGATTCCTCAAGATTGTTAAACTCGAGGTTGTGAACTTGGTGCACCTCCAAGCAAGAGCTTATGTATATGGCTACTCCGCCCCCAATTCCTGTTGTTCTGTCGTTGCGGAACAAAGTCATCCCTGGTAATGCTAACTCTTGGTCCGAGAACTGAGAAGATATCCAGGTTTCAGATATTCCTATCAGGTGGGCTTTATTAACGTTGCAAAGTTCACGTAATTCATCCAGTTTGTTTGGTAGACTCGAGGCGTTCATATATAAGCAGTTTATGCTTTCAATTTGGAACGCGTGAGCTTCGTCCTGTTTTTCTGTATGAGCCTTATGTGAATGGACAGGTAGCCCACCAATGTGAGGTTTACCGAGGTGGTAGGCCCTGTCCTTTACACGTTTTTTTTATCGTTTAGACAATCCACAAGTGGAATGGTCAGCCTATCCAAGTGCATGTGGATTCCAGGTGGCAATCGACGTCTGTTGGCAAGAAAAGGGAAGACAGCCAAATGTATATCACAATACTGTTTCTAGCACTATATTTTATTTTATAATCACACATAATCTTATACTCTCAGCTCTTTTCCGAATCGCCCCCATTTGTCAGTTGTATGTCCACTCACACCTTGTCAACACTTATTTTCTTTGACCTATTAAAATGCTCTTTATTAACATATACCTTAATAAAGGAAAATTAGACTGAGTAATCATACCTTAAACATTCCTTCATGAATATTGGCTACTCTGCCTCTCGTGTTTTCTTTTACTTGCTCCCTCTTTCAGCCCCCTTGAGATATGAAACTGGTGACTTCATTCTGCACCATCCTTAAAGCCTTGGATATCCCAGAAGGAAATAAGGTTGCGATTTTTAGAAGCCCATACCTTCAATGGACCTATCCTTGACCATCAGTCGCACATTCGCAACGCAACTTTCATGAAGCACGCCAACTGTGGTACTGATTCAAACCATCTACATTCATATCTTATGAATTATCAACCCAGCTATGTAATTTATTACAGTGTATATTGTATCATTTGTATCAATTTGATCTTGCCTGTAAACTGGCATGCCTCATGTAACAAACTGTTATTTGAGAATAAATTATTATTATTATTATTATTATTAAATGCTTCCAGAACTGCAGCCGCCATGTGGGAAGATGGGAAGGTTATCTTCATTAGACGGGGTCTAAGATCACCGTTCTTCTTGGCTAATCTCGTCACATGCTGAGTCAGTACGTGTTTGAGCCTCAAGGACTGTTTGATGAATTTCCATTCCCTGATGTCAGAATTTGATTGAGTAGGGTCTGCATTTTCCGGTATACCTTGCACAATTATGTTTCTTCCGCGGAAAATCTTCTCACGAGATTCTTTAGGGATGTTTCGTATGATATTGCGCTCAGAGAACGGTATGTCGGGCAATATTCTTACGTTACCATCTGATTTCAGCAAGTGACTTGCTAGTAAGACGTCCTCTACATCGGTAGCATTCTTAAGTGTTACTCGGAGAAGCCTTGGGTGATTTAGATGCTTAGAGTCCTTTCCTCTAGAGAGCCGGGTGACCATCAAAGGCTCTATTCTAGGAAGTTCGAGCTTCTTGTTCAATTCACCCCAGAGCATCTTGTCGTTTTTGTCCTGCAGACTGAGAGGAAGGTCAGGATTTTGAACGAGGTTCATGATAATGAAAGAGTCGTCACGAACTGTTGTTAATTTACCAGGTTTCACGGCGGATTCATGTTTAATGACTTGCTGTTTTGAGGTCAGTGTGCGTTTTTGAGGCTTGGGCTCTTTTTTGAAAGGACGAACAGTCTTGGGAGTAGACTGTGCGACCAAATCACCAGTTAATTTCCGTACAGCAACAGTTGGGTTGCTCGGATTAGGCGGTGATGCCTGGTTCTTTTGGGCTCTCTTAACGTGGGTCGAATCACCTACATGGTTTTTGGGAACCAATGTTGAGTTCAGGGACCCTGAGCTGGGAGACCCGAGTTTGCTTAGGGAGTCTAATACCTTCGACGTAATGATGGTGCTGAGCCTCGACACATCATCATTAGTGTTGATGGATGCTCCATCGATGGTATACCTATCGACATCCCTATTTTTGTATCCGTCGCACGCTCTTGTTTGTCTACCGGATTTTTTACTATCGTTGTCCAAGTTGACTGACAACTTGTTCCGAAGACCTGTCAGTAGAACAATGATGTTACTCAGCAAAACTACAGCATCCGTGCTGCACGCGAAACATACCCATTTTCGGTCTGACTTGCTGAGTCTGTTGTAAGCAGTTGATATCAGATCTGTGCATGCTTCGTGGAACCAACCTTT